TTTTTTTTTTTTTGTTTAGGCGATGACTTTGAAGTTTCCTTCTTTATTTCTTGTGAAATGTCACATATCTAAGATGGGAGGGATACGGCTTATTGTAATTTCAGATAGTAGCGGTCCGTCATTGGCAACTCTACAGAAACGGAACTCAAAACAGGATCCCTTAACTACGTACACTTTTATCCATTCTCCTGTTTATTACTAAACAGACAAATTTTTTGTGGAAATCATTTAAAATATATCGTTTGTTCTTACTGGGCGCACATTTTAGAAAGAGTAGTTCTGGCGACCAAACTCCCATCGCCGGTTCGCCACCGCCAGTAATTCACGAAAGCGATTTTAGGAAAATACCATTCCGTTCAAAAGTCCGTGAAGAAGATATTGAAGTGTTTCTAGATCATATGAGGTTATTTCGGTCTATTTTCTTGTCTTATATTAGTTATTTTTCCAAATATGTGTAGTTTCTTTTAGGATGAAATTCTTTCATTATCACTTACCTGGTGATTCAACTACAACTTTTGGTCTTCCGGAGGCTACACGCATAAGCGTTGAAGCAATGAGGAGGAACGTTTATGTTTCTTTAGGAGATCTGCAGGTTGTTTTTTTCTACAGATTTTCTTTTTGAGGTAGAAAAGTACTTGTTGTATTGCTTATAGCTTTTAAATGTGCTGCCATTCATTCTAACTCACTTCCATTTTGTGCTTAACGAGGTAAGTTTTATTTAGATACAACGGGAAAAAAAATTGAACAGATACCTGTTTTCACAACGCGAAAACGACATTGAGTTGACAAATGCTGAACAGTTGTATCGTTTAATGCTACCAAATTTGAGCCAATACGTTATTGCGTTGTTGAAAGTATTGCTTGCGGCTGCTCCGTCGTCAAAAGTTAGTTTATTAAAGAAAATAATGGTAAATTTTTTTCCAGCGAGGATTGTGCATTTGTTTTGCTTATTTCAGCCAAAGAATGAAGCCATCAACATTTTGTCAGACGTTCTCACTATTGAAACAGAGGGAAGTGAAGTGTTATCAAATTCCATGAATTTTGATGGCTCATTGAATAATGTTTTGGAGCAAAGTGTTCGTATTGTAATCGATGTGAACAGGCATAAAGAGGTGTTTTTTATTTATAGCTATCAGCGTGAGGATCTGGCGTATGCAGTAATTTGCATTTTCTCTTTTTTTGAAAGATAACTTATCTGATTGCTTTTTCAGGTTATGGTTAAAGCAGCTTCGTCCATTCTAATATTATTGATAAAGCATTTCCGATTGAACCATATATACCAGTTTGAGTACCTCTGCCAACATCTTGTTTTTGCAAACTGTATACCGTTAATACTAAAGTTTTTGGACCAGAACATTGTTCGGTACATACAGTCAAAGCATGAGCTTTTACCGTTAAACTACCCAGCAGCGCCGTTATATTTTGTGCAGAATAGTGGTATTGCTTTCTAGACTTTTTTGAATTTTTCTTGGGGTATGATTTTTCCAAAGTAGCGTATCTGCCAGTTATTTAATATTTTGTAAGGATTTTGTGATGAAATCAGGAACGCTTTAGAGGAATGGCCACAGTTAAGTGATGAAAATGTTGAGACCGGTGATTCACAGTCGCAGAATTACTTCTTGTGGCGTAACGTTTTTTCAATGATTAATCTTCTACGTGTCTTAAATAAATTAACCAAATACAAACACGCTCGAACAATGATGCTTATTGTATTCAAGTCTGCTCCAATACTCAAACGGGCTCTTCGCATTAGACTTGTTAGCAGTTTTATCAATTATAACTTTTTTGAAGTAATTCTAGAAGAACTGTAATTTTAGAAGAGACAAATGGAAGAAATTTTAGGATTATTTTTTAAGGGAAGTTAACTCACGTTGCTTTTTTATTGCCTTAATTGTACATGACTTTACTCATCGTTGAACAAGAATTGGGGTATTGATATTTTTACTGTAAAGAAGATATCCAGTTAAGTGACTATTCACATTTTCTTGTCTTCATGAGTGTACCAAAATTTCAGGGAATATTCCAGTTATATGTATTAAAGCTGTTAAAGATGCAAGCTCGTTATCTTGGTCGTCAGTGGAGACGATCAAATATGGAATTGATGTCCTCAATATTCAGTAGAGTCAGGCACAGGTCTGACTGTTTCTTTCTGAAAAAAGTATCATTTCAAAAGAGAGTAAGGATGAAAAGAGCTTAATAAAACGTAATGAATTTGGCGGATTTGCAGGATTAATGATGACTGGGCATTTGCTAATGAAAGTCGTTCGAAATCGTGGGATTTTGAAACTAAAGAAGCTGCTTTAAAAGCTGCAGTAGAGCGCTTCAACTCGAGGCGTTACGCTAATTTATATCCAGCTTTAGCATTAGGTTTTCTTTGGCAGTGGATTACACATTTTGCGCATTTTGTCAACTTTTGGAAGATGACACTCGTTTACCTTATTGTTTGTTTAAGCTTCAGGAAAAAGCCTTATTTGTGGGAAAATTACACTTCTTCGAGTGACTATTGGTTTTTTAGAACCGGAAAAGGCTCCCAGTCCTGGAGAAAAGTACTTGGACACGATAGATCTCCGCGAGTTCGAACCAGTTGATAATAGTTTTCAATCCGTCCTGGGTGCTCACCGTGAAATGAGTGAGCGTTTCAAGAGGAATTATAAAAGATGGTTAGATGAAGAAGTCTTCCGACGACAGGTTAACTGGGATCATCTTTTGTATAACAATCGTGGTATTGTAGATCTGTTTTAATAATCTCTGACTTGGACCGCTGCGGAATGAAGTTACTGTTTTTATTGTGATTTTTGCGTTAGTTGTGCATTTTACATTCCTGAAAGCTTTTCATTTCTTTATTGGACGAACATTCTCTGAAGGATAGCTACGTCAAGGTTATTCCGAATTATATAGAACTGTCTGTTTCTTTACTTGTCGGTGGTAATGTAATTGGCACAGCACTTCGACTTTGTTTTATCTGTTTTCTGCCTTTAGGTTGTCATGTGGAGTGGTTTTTAAATGTTTAATGATTGGGGTATGGGTTTCAAGATTATTTTCAATTTGTACTTGTCACTGTTACTACAATGCGCTTTAAGATGTCTGGAGAGAGTGATTTTTAATAATGCTGTTGCCCCGCTTTTATTTCTGACTTGTTCTATAACCGACAGAGTGCTTAGATGATTTTTCATCATTTTTTGCTTATGAAGGGCTCTTTTTTAGGTGATTTATATCTTTTTCATTTTTAATATTTTTTAAAGCAACAAATTTTTATTGAAGTAACAGTTATTTCTGCTGTTAAAGCAAGTCAGAAGCATTCTTACTGAACAGTTTCTTCCTCTTTCCACTTCTTATTCTGTTTTGCAGTCGCTGAAGCCTCCTATTGTTATATTTCATTTTGAATTCGTTGATATGATGTTATTTTCGGGTAAAGTTTTTGTTAGTTTGATAGGTACTTTTCACTTATTGGTTCTGCCCGTGGTTCTTGCTACTTGACATTGTAAATCCCGAATTTTTTTCCAGTGCATCCTATTTTGAAGTTTCAGTGTTGGGGTTTCTTTCAAGCAGGCTGGTTGCTTCCAGGTACAAAGATGTTGTCTTCACGATTTTTGCTGCCTTTTCGGGGGTGCTCAAAAGCAGTGACTGAGGGTTTAAGAGCTTTGTAAGCCACTTTTCCAATTTGTTGCAAAACTTTTTATTCGATTGATGTTTGACGTAAGTTTGGGTTGAAATCTTTGAAAAAGGCCATTTTAGATCTATATCGGCTCCGAATTTCGAGACAGCCGAAAATGCCTTTGAAAGTTCTCGCTTAATAGAATATGCAAGGCTGCACTGGGATGATACGGTCAACGAAACCGACCCAACGGTCTAGCAATTTTTTTTTTTCGAGAAAACAAGTTTTGCATAAAATTAGTCTTCTTTTGTAGGTGGTTCGCTTACGTGATGAAATTTTAAAAGGATCTCGTTCCGCGTTGGCGTCAGGAATTACTCTGGTAGAGTCGAGGCATCCAACCAAAAGGGCACAAGGGAATTATCTTCTTTCGGAGATTCTTGCTGCAGAAAGAAAGAGATTCGAAAAGAAAGGGACTGATGCCTTGATATTTCGCATTGGTCGGCCATTTCTACCCATCTTACCTTATCTAGAATTGGTAGTTTGCGTATTACTTGCTTTGCTAGTCATTTATTTAAACAGCAAAGTCTACAGGCACCATACATGAGAATAAATGGGATTACTTGGCAGAAAAAATAGTTTTAAATGAAGTACTTCTTTTATTCTTTTCTTTAATCTTACTTAAGACCTCTAATAAATTTTCCCTAATCATTTTAAAAACCACTTTTTTAGTGTACATCTGCTTTTGGGTTTTAGAACCATTTTATGCTCGGCGTTTTACAGGAATTTCTGGCAGTCCAGGTGTTGGAAAATCTTCTTTTATTGAAGCACTGGGGAAAGAGTTGACAGAGAATTTAAAAAAGAAAGTGGCCGTTCTTACTGTCGATCCATCTTCTGCAACTACTGGAGGTGAATTTATTGTAAGAATGATGTACTGAAGATCATCTGCCTGATTATTTTCCAATGTTACAAGCTCTTTGTTGTAAGTTAATTACCAGCATCCTGAAAACACTTCAGGTTCTGTTTTGGGGGACCTAACACGTATGCAGACACTTGCGAGGAACCCGATGGCGTTTATTCGACAGTCTCCCACCAGCGGTTCTTTGGGTGGTGTTACGCGTGGAATTCATGAAGCAATTGTGCTGTGTGAGGGCGCTGGATATGATGTAGTCATCATCGAAACAGTGGGTAAGAAACTTTGCTGCCAGCAATTCTGGTCAAAAAATTCAAAGTTTCATTTGACGAATTTTCGTCTTATCGTTTCTGCTGATTCTTGCTGCTCTAGGTGTTGGACAGTCAGAAGTTAGTGTTAGTAATATGAGCGATATGTTTTGTCTTCTGCTCTCTCCAGCTCACGGAGATGAACTGCAGGTATTACTGTTTTCACTGTTCTGAGTTGACGGTTTTGCACGTCATCAGAAGAGTATTTTTAAATGCAATTTTTTCAGCTTTTTTTCCGCTCCGAATTCCACCAAACTGCTGTTTGTTTAATTGTGATTGTTTCCTTGTTCCGGCTGAAACGTCTCAGCTTATTTACTGTTGAAATATGGTTTCAGGGTGTCAAAAGAGGGATTATGGAGCAAAGTGACCTTTTAATTGTAACGAAGGCAGATGGCGAGCTTGAAAAAAAAGCTCGACTGACTCAAATGGAATATATTTCAGCTCTCAAGTACATGCATCCTAGGTCTCCATTGTGGCGTCCGAAAGTCTGTTTGCCTTTGGTTTTTGTTAGACTCGTTTTTACCTCAAATTTTCGGATTTAATTTAAGTTTCTTGATAAGTTTCAAATCTGCTTCCACGTGTGATTAGTCTGAATGCGGGAAATGCTTTTTTATTACAGGTCATGGGCGCTTCAATCTTCAAACCAGAGACAGTTCATGAAGTGTGTAAAACCATGTATGAATTTTGGGATAACGCTTGTAAAACTGGCTTGCTTCTGTCTCGCAGAAACGAACAAATGACAACTTGGATGTGGACTCACGTTCAGGATGAAATTATGTCGGTTTTCCGCCGCCATCCGGATATTATGAAGAAGGTAATTTAAGAATAAAGCCGTCAGTGGCTATTTCCTGCAGGCTTGCTGTAGAGGTTACCTTAACGTCCCTTTTATGTTTTAGGCACCTGATTTGGAGAAAGCCATTCGGCAAGGAAAAACTACACCTGGATCTGGAGCTGAGTCATTGTTGCGAACATTCTTTGGCCTCTAATTTGTTTCTAGTCACTCTTACACAGATTCGAAACATTTAATTTTGTTGTTGGAACGAGTACACAATTAGCTACTAGAAAAGGTCCCCAAGCTCTCTAAAATCATAACTCAAGTTCACTTTTATCTCCCTCTAAAAAAAATTTAGGTTTTTTTTGAAAGTGATTTCTGCACTCTTGTGTTTTTTTTCAAGGTCAGTTGTTTCTTTTAATTGTTTAGATGTTGAAGGCGATGAGCGGTTTTTTGTAAAGTTAGGTCTGAGGAGGCTTCCCAAACACTGGCAGAAATATTATTTATCATGGTATTCGCAAGATAAATAGGAACTGATTCTCTTGCTACTTCTTAAGAAGTATTTAGTATCATTGTTTGAAATGTTTTTATTTGATACTCGGTCAATCTCGGTGAGGGTCTTCTATAGTTTTTGACTTTTCTGGAAACGGTAGTAAATAGTGTAATGGAAGTAAGAATCCCTGAAAGTGTAGCTGTTCATTTATCACAGAGGAAACTATGAGGCCCATACGCACAAGAATCGTGCCCACAAAAATTTTAACTGACAGTCGCATCCTGGTTTTTTCTGCGCAGCTGGCCCGCATCAAAGCGATGTTGTTTTCTATTTACTGTGTAGCGAGTGTAGCTCAAGCAGTAGACTTCAGAGAGAAATCTCGTTATTTTCGATGTACAAATGACTTTTAAGGGTTGTATCAAATAATAAAAACTGCAATGCATTATATCAAACATGTTAATATACAAAGGACGGATCTTTCCGCCAGTTGTATCGTAAAGAGTTTACACTAGTCTCCGCTTCCGCTTTAGACGTGACCCGAGTTTCCAAAACGCGTATCCAGCCACAGTAGCAGATGCAGCTACAGGAAATTTTGTAAATGCAAGAAAACAAATACAACCAATCAATATCGATTTTAGAGCTCTCGCCTGAAAGTTATCTAGAAAGTTACATAAGCGCAATTCAAGCTTTTACTATAGTATAGTCACCTTGTTATCTTAAATGTTACAAGATGTGCTTTAAAGCTGACCTGGTCGCTTTCAGGTTCTCCATATCTGCAATATTTGACAAAGTGCTCGCAGTTATTGAAAAGCAAATTGTAATCTCCAGTACCAAGCTGTAAATGTCTTTTTGGGACATTTAAGTGCCAAGTAACGTTAAGAAACTTTTGAAGACAATAACGGCAACATTCGAAAACCAGAAAATTTTTCCTTACTTTCATTAGAGCCCTCTCAACGATAACAGACGGCGGAAGAGGGCTACACTGACAATCCAAAGAATTGTTTATTCGACACAAATCTTCTCTTGCTACATGACTTAACTCATCTCTCCTGACCTGAAAGATGAGATTACTGTTCATACAAAAGTATATAAGTTTTGTCTTTTTGTACTGTGCAAAGACTGAATTTGTGACAATAAAATTAGCCTGTTCCTCACAATAAAAAAAAATGTCTGAATACACATGAACATACAACAGCGGTCAACCTCAACAGAAAAGATTACCAACCTCCGCCTTGCTTCCATTCATAATCTTTGTGGTTATTTCGGCAAATGAATCAGTGCAAGACACTGATGGACCTTCAAAATCGTTCTCCTCAAGTGACAAGTGGGCAACATAAAGCTTTCCATCTTCTACAGCAATACATACAGCCCAGTGCTATAAAACCTCTATCACGTAGTTGCAAATAACAACGCCGTTTTGCTCACCATATTCGAGGAGTAAAGACTGGTGGGCATTATCGAAACCATTCTGTTTAATTACAAAAACCGTGAAAAAATAACGAGAAAAACGTAATATACAATCCGCTTCACAAACGATAATTGCTTCTACTTCAACAACCAAAACAAAACAAACCGTATAAATTCGACGTTTAATTGTACCAGCTACTCGACGAAACTCAATCAAATCTCCAATTTCGAGAAGAGGTTTCAAATCCTGCCACCGTAACCAGTCAGTCACTAATTCCCCAGGTAGCATCATCTGAAAAAAGAAAAACCAAAAAAATATTTTTATGAAAGAAAAGCCATTCTTGCCTTTTCCCAATTAACAAAAATCGCAATTGCACGTTATCTAATAGTTCTAAAGTGATACACAAAATTAAAAAGACAGTTTAGAAATAGCAACAAAATAGTGATCAGGCATGACTATTTAGACAAGCAAAAGAACTGAAAACTATACTGCTGCCATTTCACTGTATCCTCAATTGTATGTTCAAAAAATACAAAAAACTAAAACCACAACAAGAGTAGTATTGAAAAAGCCTGGAATTTAGGTAATGACTGGCTGAAGCGGAAGAAAGAGGTGCTGTCGCGAAAAAAACATCGATTACTCATTTCATCTTTATTAATAATGCTGTTTAAAGCTTATATATATAAAACATAAACAAAGTAGTTTTAAGAAAAAATTTCCAACAAATATGAAGAGAGTCAACTATAGATCATGAAAGATACAACAAGGTC